TTGTGTGTGTTTTGTGGCTTTTTCCTTACTTGTTTGTTTGTTGCGTGTGTGTGCAGATGAACTGAGACATAATCAAAGTGTGGATCCTATTGTTAGCGAAGGACATGTGGTTCTACAATCCAGTCTCGCAATAGTGTATTTTTTGTGTATTGATGACCTTGGGTCCAACTTGTTGAATCGTCTTCTGAGGCATATGGTTGAACTCCCCAGAGCAATGCATTGCCTCTAATTTATTTTCTTATGACTGCCACCTTTGTATAAACGTAGTGTGGGAATTGCTCTGTAGACTAAATAGAATTAATAACTATTTTGTGATCCACCTTGTGTTCTATAGGTGTCAGTCATTGTATTTGCATTGAAACCAAGATTATTTCATATTAAATAATTATGCATGAATATTAAGATGTTTTATTAAATAGAAATACATTATGCACGTTAATTCTCTTATCGACCATATGTAGTTTGTCTACCCAAGCATGCATAGAGACGTTATATGATATCTCGTACATGAAAGCGTGAGACACCTAGATGGGTTATTTTATCTATGTTAGGAACGTTACAAGGGGTGCAAGGAGGGGAGGGAGAGGGGGTGCAGAAAGGGGGTATGGGGAAGAAGAGATAAGGGGTGTAGGAAGAAAAAAGAATAAAAGTTAGAGTTTAGTTATACGTGATTTTAGTTTTGAAACCTAAAGAAATTAAATAGAAAGCATCCATGATCTTAAATGAAAAGGGAAGAAAAACTCTCATAATTGATCTGTTATAAAAAAAAATAGTACTTTATGAAGGAGAATGTTGTCTCTTAGAGATCTCGTAGAGGTGACAATTAAAATTGGAAAATATGATATGGGTGTGAAAGGTAAAAGAGTTTTGAGTGAAAGACTAAGGAGTTGAATGTGGAGTAGATAAAGAAGGGAAGAGAGTTCTCAAAGACAATTCAAAATTTAAAAAGATAAAGATCTCCACACAAAATTCTAAACTTTCTTTTTATTTGACTTTGCTAAAGTCAAGCATAGGTGTACTCCCGTTGATCACACCTTAGATAGAGAAATCTTAACAATTAAGAATGAGTTATATGTCCTTTCTAAGCATATCCTAAAGAGAATGTTCTATTATTCAAAAAGAGATGTGCTAATGTTAAGCATGATTATTCTCATATATGATTATTCTCATATGAAATCTAATATAGAGAGCAAACCCTCTTCAAAGGGTTTGTCTAGCTAAGATAGGGTATGTTGATGTCAACAAGGACATTCTTATTAAACTCTTTTATCAATTTCACTCATTATCTAGTCTTTTTTTTAAAAAAAATTTACAATTTAGTCCAATTTTACTAAATTGTATATCACTATTTTTATAATAAAATTTAAAAAATTAACCAGTTCAAGAGATAAAATATCAATTAAAATAATAAAATGAACTAAATTCTGATAAATAAAATGACAAACTAATAATTTTTAACACTCCAAATAAGATGTGAGCAGTTTTATCATGTCCTACTGGATTGAGCTTTCCAAAACATAGTTCTTGGGCGATGTTTCATAAAAATTAGCTTTATAAATTCGTAATTCTCACCAATAAATTCTAAATCAATCCCATTATTGAATCATAAAAGAATTGACACAGTATGTTATACTATGTACAATTACTTTTTATTTTATTTTTTATACAAACTTTTCAAAAATCTAGTCTAAAATAAGAAAAAAATTACAAGTATTTATTTGTTTCACTTTAATATACACATAAAACATTTTTCTACCCATAAAATGAAGGTTAATTGAATATCAAATAAGTTTTATGTATGAGAAACTTGTTACACAAACTCGATAAGAATGTCCATGTCCTGGTATAGCATAACGTATTATTTGACCGAGGGTTATAGAAAGAAAGCTAATATCACGTCTTCTCTTAACAACTAGTTGTCAAGTAATGGCTCAGCACTGGTTTGATTTATACCAATAGCATTTGTGAAGATTTCATTATTTATTTCTTCTATCTTGCAAATTGCGTGAGACATTGCAAAATTCTGAGCCGTGATCTCAGGACAAAGTACTGACCTTTCTTCCGAATTCCCTACAACAAAAAAAGTTGGTGGGGCTAGCCACCGTGATACAATTTGCGAGCTTCGATACTCCACTGCGTCCCGAGTCAACTCCTCCTAGTCCTAGCGTTGCGTTTCTTTTTGTTTTTACTCAACATTTTAGTGGCCATATCTTCCTGTGAATAATTGTTTTAAAAAATATTCTAAATTTAATTTTGACCAAAATAATATTAAAAAATTAGGTTAAATTATATATTTTGTCTCACGGGTAACACTGATCTAAAAAGTAGTCTCTATATTTAAAAACAAGAGTTACATTTTAATTGTAAAGACTTTATTACGTTTTATTTCTTATTAATTATGTTTTGGTCTCTGCGGTTGATGGTGTTAACATGTTATTAACGATAAAGATTAAAATGTAATAAAATACTTATAATAGAAATAAAGCAAAAATTTTGTTTAGTATAGTTGTAAATAATAATATTATTTATACAGAGATTAGATATATATTTTAACAAAAAAAATATTTTTAATGAACTTATCTAAAAAAAATTTAAAATAAGACATTAAATAAAAACGTTATAAATTTTAAAAATATCAAAAAACTCATACTTAAGTCAAAAATCATTTACATTTTAAGATCATGTATATCTATTAATAAAATTTATTATTTGGTAAATACATAAATCAATAAAAAAATAATTTTTATAATTTACATATCTATATGTTACAAAATTATATAAAAATTGTTAACATTGATATTTTATTTATTCTTCTTAAAATATGATAAAAATAAAATATATAATTAAATAAATTTTTTTATTAATTAAGAACAAAGTGTTATGAAGATAAAATTGAATTATAATATATGTATTTTTTAATTAGATTCGATGTTTTTTATTTTAAAATTATAATTAGTTAAAAAAATATATTTGATTCATATATTTAACATGTTTCCAAATTATTTTTTATATTTAAAAATATTTGCGTGCTAGTCTTTATATTAAAAATAACTAACATATTATTTTTTATTATTATGATTTAGTTCTTTTAATCTGTAATAACAGCAGAGAATAAAACGTAAATAATAAATATTAAAAAAGGATATATAACTTTTTAGTGGTCTATTTTGATTGTTGATAAAACATTTTGGTCACACAAATCACGCAGAAACGTGCTAGCTTATGATGGACGAACCACCGTATTCTCATTGGTAGAATTGTGATTTGTGATAACTTTTTGAAGGGGTATGTGTAAACCCAGAACAGCAAGGAGCAAGGGGCAGGTGGTAATAGATGTGACGAGCACATAGATAATTGCACCGAACCCATTAATTAAATAATATTAATATTGTAATATTGAACGGATCAAAATAAGTTGGGGATGACAGGGAACAAGGTCACCACTAAAACTACCATCATAAATAAGAACACATGCATCACCCAAACAGTAATTTTTGTCGGTAGCACTGGCACTGGGCTAGTGCTGTGAGATTTGTCTTGTGTGTTTATACACAGATAAATTGGATAATAAATAAATTTATACACACAGATATATACTTTATATATTTTGAGGAGTGTGTTTCACATCCTAATTTGTCTTGGTTTGGCTGAGATGTTGTATAGAGTGAATTTTCACCGAAGTTGCAATTGGGAATCTGAACATGATTCTCTTCATCATAGTGGTGTCTCGTAATCGAGGCCTAATGTAATACCCTCACACGCACACCCACGCCATTATGAAAAATTGCCGAATATTTGGCATTATATAAAACAGAACATCATCTTGTGGCGTACGTAGATCATCCATCAATCATTCAATTCCGATTAATATTCTGTTTCCATTTTGTAAATTTAATCTTTGCTTTAGCAGATAACCTATGTCTGCTCCCAACTTCTTAATTTCACTGTTTTTAAGAACTGTGGAACCGCACTGATTTTAAGAAGTATGGAACAGAAGCACTGTGTTATTTTTAATTTTTAACTGGTTTTATGTTTAGAAGATTATAAATTATCATGTTCAAAAAATTAATTTTTATAATAATTAATATTAAAATTATATTTATAATATATTTTAATTAATTAACAGTGTAAAAAAATTTATACTAACAATATAATTAAAATAAACTCATCAAATATTTTTCCTAATTTTATAAAAAATTGATTTAAATTAATAGTATAATTTTTTTACACTAGACACATTCTAATTAGTTGATAATATAATTTTTTTTTATATTGACATTGCACAAAAATTAAACAATTAAATTAAGCATATTAAAAAGTTGTTAACAATAATTGGTGTATTAATTTAAAAAAATATTTATAGCATTCTAAATTTATCTTTAACTAAAGTTAAACTCTTTATTACATTAGTCGTTAAAAAGTTAAAAAGATTCTACGATAAAAGATAAATATATTAAAAAATAATAAATATTTCTAAAAATTTAAAAATATCTTAGGTTAATAACTAATAAAGATATTTAAAAAATTCTTGTAAAAAGACCAGAACATGTATAGCTAAAATTTTGTTAGTTGTAAAAGTGAAATTGGGCTAGCCCAATCACGATAATTCAAAGGAATTTGATTTTTCTTTATAACAACGGGCAAATTTGTGGCGAGAAATAGCTAACACACTCAGGATAAAAGTAAAATTCATGTTTCATATTGTGATAACACGTATATCAAATCATTCTACTCTAATTCGTTAAGTAGCACAGCTGAAAAGAAAATCCGAAATAAAATTAAGAGCACCAAAGGGACAAAAGCATAGGCTAAAGCATTAATGCGTTATTTTACTCATACTCAAGCCTCAGTTTCATACTTGGGGTTATAGGAAAACAAGAAAGATACATAAGAAAACGCAGCCTCTATGGCAAGCATAGGGAAAGATTTGTACACAGCACAAAATCTCTCAAGTCATAATTTTAGTAAGAAAATTTGTTATGCTTGTCCTAATAAGGGACCTATGTTCTTGCTGATGGAAGGACATTTTTTCCTGCACCCTTCATCTCAGCAGCAACATTGACCTCAATAGTGTCAAAAATGTCTGATCCTGCTCTTGTTCCGTCCTTTATTGGCAACTCTTGGCCCTCACTTTTCCCTGCATCCGTTGAGTTCAAACTGTCTTTGCTTTTCCCCCATACCACAGTATAAAGTCCACTCACAATGATGATAGCACCAATTATACTGTAAAAATAAAAATTAGCAAGTTAATTAATTGACCCACTTGAATTTTTTATGTCTCTTTGTGATAATTTAAACTATGCTAATTAATTGAACATTGCATACCTTCCCAAATGAACTTGCTCAGCCAAGACAATAGAACCCAACGCAGCAGTGATTATCATACATAGAGGGCTAAAAGAAGTCACAAACACGGGTCCACGTTCCCTGGTCACAACTCCTTGTACATAGTATGCCATTCCAGAGCACACCACTCCCTAATTGTCACAAATTGAGTGTTATTAATCACCATAATGGTTTTAATTATGAGTTTATTAAGCTAATTGATGAATTACGAAGTTAATTAATTAAAACAACCATTAGTGTATGTATACATGAATAATATTGAAAGGTACTCACAGAATAAACACAAGCAAGAAGCCTCGAGTCCCAGCCTATGGACCAAACACTCATGTCACGTTCAAAAATAAGGGACGCAATTGCACCCTCAAAAATGCCCAAAAAGCAAATCCAAGATGTGACGGAGAGCTCTGCTGGGTACATCTTCAAAGTGAAAGACTAAATCCACAAAGTACAGTCACATTATTAGTAAATGTTCAACATTTTTCTCTTTTTGTTTGGATCTTCGACTTAATTAAAATGAAACCATTAAATAAATAAAATATTAAAGAACGTGCATGGATAGTATAGTAGTAGGTATTTACTTGCAGGATAAAGAAGCTAGCCCAACCACCACAACTTGCTATGAGCATTACTGTGCCAAGCACCCAGTGTTGTTCAGAGGGCTCTGTGCCACTGGCACTTTCATGATGGCTTGCTTGTCCCTTTATGATTTGAAGCTCAGGACCTTTGTACAAAGTCATAACCATGGCTCCTGAAACTGTTACTGCGGTTCCAATTACCTTGGCTATGCTGTGTATTTTCCTCAAGTTCACTGTCTCTAACCTGGTTAGCAGATTGCAAAAATATGATTAGATGTGATGCGTGACTTGGAATTTTGTTTTTCGTTGCTTAACGCAACTTCCATACACTAATAGCATTGGACTGCATTACATCAAAGTTTTATTATATTAAAAATATTTTTAGAGTGTTTGAAGACCTCGTTTGTTGCCATGCCATGTATTATCTGTCACCTACCATAATATATTTATTTTTTAAGTTTGGTTAACATCAATTCTCATAGTAGATTTTAATTATCTAAAAGTAATAACTTTTATTAAAAGAATATTCATTATATTTTATATGTTTGATGTAATGAATATATACGTCATTTTTAATAATTTTTTTATTGTTAAATATTTAAGACTAATTTTAAGGACTGATGCTAATTTTTTTATTTAAAATTATTTTAAGATAAACGTATGGCTATAAAAGGTGATAATTATAAAAGGAATAAGTATTGAAAGAATATACAAATTTTTACTCTTGTGGGTGTGCCTTTCCACATACTGTTGGACTCGGACTCAACTACGAATGCAACTAGCTACCCTTTTTCTTTTGTGTAAGAGCGCACAAGCTGCCATTATTATTGTGGTGTGATGATTGAAGCTTCTAGCTAGTAAATTACCTGAAAATGAGGGCCATTATAAAAGTAATGGCTGGGAGGACATTAACGGTGGCCGATGCAAACGTTGTTGAGGTGTTCTTCATCCCCATGTTGTACAGGTTTTGATCAAGCACTGGTCTATTTTTCATCACAAGATAAAATTATCAGTCCACAAATTTTTATGAACAAAATAACTATGTAATATGTAAACCACAACTTCTTACAATGTCATAGGATTAAAATTTAAATCAAATTAATAATAGCCAAATCCATGAGTGACGAAAATCTAGTTATTTCTCACAGTACAAAAGATGTTCCTATTTCGTACTTTGGCTAGACAATAGATTCTTTGTTCAAAAGTGATAGCTATATCTTGTTCTGCCTAAGTCTCTTTCTTGTTCCTGATAAGCCAAATTCATTAGGCCGAGTCTATAAACTGTTAGATACAGGAATATTGTTGAAATTCAACTTTTATTAGACAAATGAAGAAAATAAGAATCAAACTTTCAAATCATTTTATCATAGAGTCCTTAATATTATGTCATGAATCAATTATTATTCTAACTATTTATCTTGTTAAATGAGGTCTCAAATAATACAATTTTATATTTTAACTTTACCATCGAAGTTGTTGGTGGACCGGGTGAGATATGAAATCTTAATTGGAAACACTAATTACTTTTTGTTAATGATTTTGTGGTGGATTGCTGCCTGCAGTATGACGTGTCCACTAGAAATGGTGGGCCAATTTAAAGCACCATTGTCGAGTTGCCGCATTTTTCTTATGTTTTGAGAGTATGGTCTATGGATTATACAAGAATTATATTATATTCTTTAATTTCTTTAACAATTCCGTTTTCAGTAAGACAGATAACAGAACCAATTAGCAAGCCAGAAGCTAAATGAAAGAAAAACATAAGTAGCTAGTGTCTCTTGTAGTCGGGGTTTCCCCAACAAGCAAGAATATACATAGATTTATCATATATATAATCAAAGGCATATTTCCTTTAAAAATAATATTCTTACAAAAGTTATTGTATAGCAATTTGTATAAAAAGACAATAGGACAAAATAATTCACACCTTATAATATGTACTTTTTGAATTACTAAAACAAAAACAATAATGTAATTTTATTTTTCTATCTTACAAGAATATCATAACTCGTTTTTTTGGACAACAGGCATAATAGAATATATATCGTAGGTATCTATCCTAGGCATAGCTAGAAGCGTGCATGCATGTGTACTTATAATACTTTTCACATATGTGGGCCAATGAAGGGACTTAGAAGAAACAAACAATATGTACGATTCGGTACTGTGAATATATTGAGATGAGTGGAAAGGGTTTGAAGAGCCTTACTCAAGGAAACCGAGAACCGCTAGCCTCAGGAAGACGGGCAGAGTCATCTTTGGTCTTATTTTTCTGCATAAAGGGAGCATCAAAGTGCACACTTATGGTCACTAGTTGATGAAGTAGACATTTAAAACAATTAGCATAGGGAATGAACAAGAAAATCTCTATTTTGTGTGTGTTGGTTGTGTGGAGGAAAATAAATTGGATTCCCATATATTACGTTATCTTGTCATGTAAAATTGTTTTTTCTATTTCTCCTTTCATAATCATTCATAAGTTTTTATATAAGTTTGCTTATTTAAATGTTAACGAAAAGAGAAATAGACATAATTTTTACACAATAAAATTTATGTGAAAATTCAATATAAAATGAACAAAATTGAAGTATAATATTTTAGACATTGTTAGTATTTTTTGTCAATTAATATTAAGACTTTATCTGTAAATTAAAGAATAACAGAAAAACTTTTAAAGAACTGCATTTAAATTTTATTCTATTAAACAATATATTTTCAATGGAGGGAGAAGGAGAGTGAGACCTTTCAAGGAAAAACGCAAAAGGAGCCATGATAAGAGTGGCAACTATATGACGGTACACCGATAGCACCCAATGGCTCATGCCATGCTTAAATGAAACCATGGTGATGATGTACATTCCGGCGTAGCCAAATTGAAGGGACACCATAGCAAGGTAAGGCTTAACCTTGCGGAGCACCTTGCTAAACCTATCACCAGCATTTTGGTCCTCCATATCTGAGCTTGCAACACAAAGAAAAACACACACACAAAGTCACTAATGAGCTATTGGTTGTGACTTGTGAGTTTGTGGATGACATACTCTGATGGAATGGCCTTCTTATAGGCCCAAAAAGCAAAATTTTAAAAGGAAACCCCGTTTTTACAATAGCGCATGGCACTAACTCTCTCTCTCTCTCACACATCAGTTTTCACTCCCACAGATTCCCTTATCCATTAAGAAAAAAAAAACATATTCCGAGCAATTAATCACTAGAATAATTTTATTTGTACAATAGAATCAAAAGAAAAAAAAGGTAAGGAAGATGCTATTGTATCTCTATAGAAAATAATTCACGTTGCTTTCTTACCAAAAATTATCATTCTTTTATTTTGTGTGTTAGTTTTTGGGAAGTGGGGCTATTTCATTTCACTGACAACCAAATGAAAAAAGAAGTAGTGCTTAGTCATGACGCATGCAGATTAATGATTTATGTTCCTATCGGGTGTTAAATAAGAATAGATGCTATATATGTGCACCACCATTTAGAAAGAAGAAAGAGGGAAAAATCGCATCACAAGGGCTTTCACCTCCAGCATCTATTGTACAATTTACATATATTTCTTTCAAAATGAAAAATAAGTTACTCATCTCGATCCATATGTGTATGTCACAATCCTTAATCATTAATGTGAGATATCGTATTTGAGTTGAACATATATATATCTCTGGCACTGAACAATGGTATTCCTACTATATTATTGAGAACACATTATTATCAACTACGGGTTGGATATTTCAACATCTTATTTAATAAGGGGATTCTACATAGATATAATTGGCTTAGACATTATTTCACAATTATTGTGTTCCTATGTGAAGGTTTGATTTAACACGAGTCATGATCAACTGTGAACATAACAGGAAAACTAGGTTATGTATCTATGAAAAGTTAGTGCGAGTGACATGGGCAGTTATTCACGAGATACCGCAAAATGATAGTGGATGGATTTGATTCATGTTTCAACGTCATAGCCATTTAATTTACGGAATAAAAATAAGCACATTCATGAGGTTGATTTAATTGAGGATGTGATCTAACTAATTGCTGGCCTCCTTGGATTTCAATTACAACAAATTACACTTGATTATCCACTCATGTCTGGCGTACATAATAATGCCCTTTGCGTATGGAATAATATCTCCCCAACTTGTCTCTCTCTCTCCCTCAATTCACATATTTGGGACTATGCAAAGTTTCTTTTTAAACAAATTTTTCTTCTTGTTCTTCATTCGTTTCTTGTTTATTTAATATTTTAAATTTAAAACACTATCAGTTACTAATAATTAATTTAATATTAAATTATTCCCAATTCATATAGATTTTCTTATAAATTTTTTTTTATCATAAACGTTGAAAGTTCATATCAATCATATAATATATCATACCAACGACAAAATTTATTAATATAATTATCAATATAAATTAACAATGCATTATTTGTTTGTTAAAAGTCTTCAAAATTTATAGTAATGTTTTTTATTAGGTAAAAATTATATTAATAAAAATTATCTCTTAATATTTGAAATATTTTATTTGTCTATAGTGGGAGGAACAAGTTTTTGAAAAACGAATTGAATGTATATACAGACTGTATGATAATATAGGTATATATGCCTTTCCCTTCCTATCACTTTGTCTTGGGCACTTGAAAATTTTCCTTTAAAGTTATGTTGAGTAAACTCTTAAAAACTGAAACGCGTTCAGCATATTGCCATAAATGGAGATCAATTATGCTAACTTGTGTTTCGTTACAGGCATCAGAAAGGAAAATGGATAACGGATACTACAAACAACATTTTCGTCTCAATCTCAATCAATTGCCAGTGTTCAAAATTTGTCAGAAAATAGTTACCCCGAAACCTCGCCAGAAAAGTAAATTTGGAAATATGATCTTTATGATTTCAATGAATGGAGAATAACTTTCATAATACATTTAATATGTTCTTTTCGTGTTTGTATCATGAGCGACGACGTGGGATTTCAGTTATTATTATTTTTTATGGATTAAGTGATTTGAGTTTGAAATTGAGGTTTGACTTCTCAAATAATTGGTTGCTTAAGTTAAGTCTGAGTCTTGTTCACGAAAAAAAATAAAAGAAGTCCGAGTAATGTATTTAAATGAGGTAAATTTAAATTTTATATTTGATTGAAAATTTTCATTATTAATTTAACATTTGACAGACATTTTTAATTTAAAAAATAATAAAAAATATGTTTATAGAGATGGTTTAGGATTGATGAAATCTATAATGATATATGTAAGCGTATGGTTTACATATATGATTTATTCTTGTGAATTATTAATGATAAAAACTGAGACTAAAGTACTTATTTAAAATTGAGCTAATTTATTAAATTAAATAAATAAACTTAAATAAACATATATTTAATAAATCAAATATAAATAATTCAAATGATTTTACCTTATTATACTTCTATTTTTTTTCTCCATATGGTGAAGACTTTATATTTTAAACAGTTTTACCCTAATTAACTTTCACTTTTTTCTGCTTATCCCAAGTACGTATATATTTATCAATCTATATGTACCACACCACTCCACATCTCTCTCTCTCTCTCTCTCTCTCTCTCTCTCTCTATATATATATATATATATATATATATATATATTAATGTGTTAGAAAATTATTGACTTTCAACAAAAATTATAAAAATAAAAGATTACTTTTATAATTAAAACTGATGAGACGTCATATTTTTGTATTCAATCTAATAAAATTATGTATTTGGACTTTGGTAAATTAAATGTCAATTGCTATATAGTCATGAATTCGTAAAAATGAAACACAGATATATGAAATTAATCAGTATTGTAGAAAAAAAAAGGTTGTTGACTTAATATGCTTCATTTATTACTTTGCATTTGTCATTTAAGATGAAAGTACATAGATTAAGAATAATAAATTTTTTTATTTGTATTAAAATCATTTATAATTTGCTGACTTGGGCTTACTCTTTTTCATTTATTAATTGCTTAAAATCATTATTTCTTTTATAGAGAAATAATTAAAAAATAATAACCAATGTTATCTTAAAATGAGCTAAATAGATTTCCCTTTCCAAAAGTAATTTCCTATATAAAAAGAAATTAATGTAATTAGTTTTTTTGAAGTGGAAGAGATGTCATACTAACAATCATACTATAAAATTAATGTAATGATGGAGATTAATAGGGATAATACTCATGATTTAGTTTACTATATTAAATAATAAAAGATGCTAACGATTTTTCACAACTTTGTATCACGTGGATTGATTAAAAGCCGAAAATTATTAAGCATACTTATTTAAATAATAATTAGGGTTTGAGCATAAAAATACAGAGGCGCGGCAAGGAATTAAAGTTGGTGGTTTCGTGTTTGGATTCCAACAAGCAATTAGGTTCAGGTTGGTGGAATCCACCATATATAATATTGGGATGCACTATGAGCAGATGTGAAACAAATACTAATAGGTGGGTAGGCATAAAGTAAACAAGCCATGTTCTCTATTGGTAAATAGTAACATTACTGTGCATAAGGTACATTTGTGACTCATTTTTAATTAAGCAATTATCTCCCAATACAAATGTGACGAAAATTAATACAGGTTATACTCAACAGACTAGTTTTTCACGTTGATTAAAGATATATAATTCAAATATTTTTTATAAGATTTGGTTAATTATCTTTCTATGAGATAATTTTTTAGAGTGAGTAATATATATATAGTATTAGAGTTTATTTAGTTTGAATCTTACAAATTTTATGCACCTAATATTTAATCTTAAGAATAAAAATGTGTAATAAGATATTTTATATTGGCAAGGAAAATAAAATATTCTTTATAATAAGATTTGAAAATTCTCCATTTTAAGAGCTGACTTCGAAAGTAAAATCTAATTTTTTTAACAATATATATGGCCTAAATATATTCTTAATTTCTATAATTTTGTGACTAATTAGTTTTCATTTTTCTAATTTTTCTAGTTTAGTTTGATTTTTACAATTTTTTAAAATTTCAGTTTCAATTCTTCTTGTTGATCATGGTGATTTAAAAAATGGCTACATTTCAAATTTTTTAGAGACATGAACAAGATAATGACAACAATTTTTCTTAAAAAAATATATATAAAAAATAAAATAAAACTCAAAAGTATAAAAATCAAATAATATTTAAATATACATATCTCACGGTCGAGAAACCCTTGATCTCTAGCATGTGGTTAGAGACATGGAGTAGTCAACCTTAATACAATCTGGATCTCGTGCAAAATGGATATCTATACCATCTCATATATTATAAGTAGCTTCGATTAACGATCTGCCACGTCACCCTTTTTCAATTATCTTATTCCCAGGGATTTATTCATATGCTTCCACCCAACAAAAGGAATAGAATGCTGGCATGTATCAATCTGTCTCAGGTCAAATCAACGTTGAAAGATTAGAATGGAAGGGATAGATCGTATTTATATATACAACCAAGGGACCAGAAAAATTGGCATCGCTCTTATATTCCTTCTTATTGATATATATGTTATGCTAGAACGTACTTCTCCCTAGCTAGTAATATCCAGTCCTTTAATTTTAAGTAAATAAATGATAGTTGGGATTTCGTGATTTTACTTAAGTTGCCAATATTCAAATATTGATTTTGTGTATATATAGAAACAACATTACAAATGATAAATCAAATGGTAAAATATATCTAAGTTATGTGCATTTGTTAAGAAAAATAAGGGAAAAAAGTCACAGTTAGTCATAAGAAAGAAATACAAATGTATTAATAATACTATATATATATATATATTTATTTATTTTTTCAATCTAAAACCATCAATATTTGAAATATCACATTAAAAAATTGATTAATTTAAATGAAATGGGATGCATAGAACCAATACAAACGATAAAATTGTGCTTTATATTTTTCTATCATTAAATATCGG